AAGTTTCTAAAACATATGAAATACATCACACCACTGAATAAAGAACTATTTGAACCCCAGATTGAATACAATTAGACAAATCATAGTAAAAGAAAGTTAGAAGACAATTATATGAGATTCTAACATATTTAAATATAATACAGATTGAATATCCCTTATGTAAAATGTTTGAGACCAGAAGTGTTTAGATTTTAGATTGGGGGAAGGTGGATTTTAGAATATTTTTATTATACTTAACCAGTTGAGCATTCCTAATCCAAAAATCTGAGATACAAAATGTTCCAATGAGCATTTCATTCATTTTGAAACTCAAAAAAGTTTTGATTTGAAGCATTTTGAATTTCAAATTTTTGGATAAGGAATACTCAACCTGTGAAAGCCAACCTAAAACTGTCTTCCAACAAACATGTTTCAAAAAATGAATGCAAAATAAAGATTTCCTAGATAATGAAAATCCAAGATATTTGTTGATAACAGATATACACTAGAATAAATCTTAATGATTTCTGGCAGATGGATATGCAAAACTCCAAGAATAACCAAGACAGTCTTGAATAAGGAAAAACTTCCATAGAAGACTTATATTAGCAGATATAATGCTTTTAATAAAGCAACAAAATTCACCAGAGTGATATATGGGCATAAGGTTTGATAAGGGGACTTTGTTAATGAAACAGAATAGAAAATCCAGAAATAAATCCACACATCAGTAGTTCCTTGTTTAATGACAATCATGATATAGCAATGGAGTATTATGGTAAATAGTTCTATCTCAACTAGACATCTATATGGATAGAAAAGATGAATGTTGACCCCAAACCTCACACCATACATTTTAATGTGAAAGTTAAAACTATCAAAATCTAAAATATGACCCAGGTAAATATTTTAAGCAATAAACAAAAAAAGCCTTAATCATAAAATCAGACTTCATTATTATTAAGATCATTTGTTCATTTAAAAGGAAAGCACCATTAAGAGTAGGAAGAAACAAGTTATTTATTTGGAGTTAATAACAAGTTATTATTCTCATTTCTGAGTCTCTGTTAAGCCACATCACCTTTGCCATCCATGATACTTCTGTCTTGGTTCACACCCTCATTATTTCTCATATTTATTTGAGATAGGTATTTATGATGCTTATCTGTAAAGGAACCATATACAGAATATATTGTTGGAAAAATATTCTTTATAAAGTTCTTACATTTTTGTACATCCTACAAGTAAGGTACTAACTACCCTTTTTTGGGGGCTACTTTTTACAATGTCTGAATAGCAAACAGCCTTGAAGGACACAGATAGCATATCCTCTGGAACAAAGAACTTACTGCCCAGTATCATTTGCATAATGCCCAGTATAATTAGCATAATACCTTCCTCTGGAAGAAAGATCAGGCATGCTTACTGCCATTTGTAAAATATTTTAAGTCTGTAATCTCAGAGTTCTTCTTAAATGCATCACACTGAGTGTGCAGACATCTATCTGGATACATGCACATTACCCCCAGGGGACTTGGGCTAAAGGAAAACCATTGCAAATATACTGATGCTCATGATGCTTTCTCTGCCATGAGTAATAAGGTCCTCTGTCTCTGACCCAGGCACCTTGTGTCTTCTTTCAGCATTCCATAAAATGGTAGCAGGCTAACTTCTTAACTTTCAAATAGGGCACAATCGCAAACCCTTCACAGTCCTTGATGCATATCGACAACTCCAACATGTCAAAAAAGAAATAGTTAACCCAATATAAAAATGGGAAGAATACTTGAAAAAGCATGTCACAAAAAAGAATATGCAAATAAGCATATGAAGTTTTTTCGACCTCATTAGCCATCAGGAAAATATAAAGCAAAACCACAGTGAGATAGCTAATAAAGATTGACTATAGTAATTGCTCATGAGAATGTGCAATAGTTGGAGCTCCATACAGTCCTGGAAGAAGAGAAAAATTTACTTTATACATATATATATATATATAAACTATTTGACACTAAGCTGAATATATGCATTCTCAATTAATGAGCACTTTATTGTGTATGGGGGTAGGTGTGAGTGTAGTGTGGTGTGTTGTGTATGAAAAGATACTCAGTAGAATGTTCATAGCAGTACTATTTTCAATAGCCAAACTGTAACAACTCCAATGTCCATTAACAACAAAAAAGATTAATAATCTATAATATTATTTTTTTCAATAGCATACTAATACCGTGGTTGAATCCTACAACATGTTTGGTTTCAAAAAACTATTTACAGAGTAGAACATACAGTTTGATTTCTTTACTATAAAGTTCAAAAACAAGCAACCTAAGCTTTGGTGATAGGAATCTGATAACAGTTCCTTTTGGGATGTAGTGGCCAGGAAGGGAGACACAAGTAGATGGATTGTTTGTAACATTCTCTTTCTTGATGTGTGAATTGATTGCATACACTGTTTCAATTTCTGATGATTAACTGAACTGTACACTTAGGATTGGTATAATTTTGTAATATGTACATTTTACATTAATGAGAGAAATTACTTTAAAATTTTAATGTAATAAAATTAAGGAAGACATGGCTACCCATACAATGTGGCAGTCCTCTTCAGTTTTCAGGCAAGTTCCCAGAGTGCTTAATATCTCTACTTCTTTACTTCTCTTCACTTTTTCAACTGAAATTTTCCATCCACCTGTCAGAAGTATCATTACTTTTGAGTTGCCAAATACACGAACCTTTTTTAGGTCATCTCTTTCTCAACAACTACTTTTATTTAACCTCTGCTCTGTTAAGACTTTTAGCGCTTTTTAACTTCCCAGTAGGCTGTTCACTCTGTGTTCTACCGTTTGAACTGCTCCAAGTTACTCTTCATAATTTCCTTCTCTTCCACACTTCTCTAAATATTGACCCATGGATTTTATTTTCCATCCTTTTGTATTCTTTCTATATCCTTTTTATGCCTGTTTATTTACCTCCATAGCTTAAACTACTTGTATAATAAACACTTGTAAAAGCTTTACTACTAAGACACTTTTCCTTCTGCAGGCCCAGATTTCACTGCCCCCTGGGAATGTCAAACTGAATAAATTCAGAAGTTAACTTATCATGTCCGCAGATGTGCTGTAGTTTTTATATTCTTTGCCTTTGTTAATGTAACAACATCTATCTGATTGTCCAAAACCGGAAACCTGCTGCCATCCTGGGGGGTTTTGTTTGTTTGTTTGTGTTTAATTTGTTTGTTTGCTGTTTATCTCATTTACTGTCCACAATAAATTGATTACCTTGATTCTCATCTTTGAGTGTCTATTAAGCCACATCACCTTTGCCATCCATGACACTTCTGTCTTGGTTCACATCCTCATTATTTCTTATAAAGGCATTTTGATTAGTGCTCAACTGGTCACTCTGCCTCCAAGTTTCAAATCCCAAGATTCAGTCCCATGATGTAATCATAATAGAACTGTTAAATTCCTCATCCTAACCTTCACTTACCAATACATACTTCTATCTCAGAATCTGCAATACTTGTAAAAAACCGTTGAATTTGTTTACATACATATTGTCATTTGTAGAATGAGACTGGGACCTTGTCTTACCAGTCTCAGAAGCCACACTATCTGCAGCATTTTAGGTAGTAGGCATATGGTTATTGAATCGATATCTCTGTGATTTTTGCTATTTGTATTTTTCCATTTATTTATCAGTCTCCCCTATCAGACTAAGCTCATTGGGAATCAGGTCAATGTACTTAATCTGACACTCAATAAATGTTTGCGTAATGAATAAATGTGTGTAGTGGAATTAAGTTTGGCTGAAATAAACTTTGATTAGAAACTTGTAAAGGACTAAAAGATTAATAAAATAGCTTTAAAGTAGTTCAAAGGAAGGGAATTGCATAAAAATCAGTAGAATGATTGTGAGACAGTGAATTAATTATAGAAAAAAGAAAAGATTTAGCCCTTATCCTTTTTTAATGATGGAAAAGCTTATTTGGGAAAATTCTATTCATATACTTCTCTAGACATGAACAGATTGAAAAATAACAAATCATATAGCTATCAATCTTATGATATTTTAGGACCAGACATAAAAATAACCCTACATATATATCAATGGCATCAGATCTAGTTGTTTTATAAGGTGGGACAGAAAAATAAAGATTAACATATCAAATATCTAACCAGGCAAGGTGATAGAAGAAAACATCAGGGGGGCACAAAGAACATTTGTATTAAATAAGTTACTAGGGGAACAGTGATATTGTCTTTAGAAAGGGTAATACCCGACAAATTAATTGGAATGTGTTGATAGGATAATTAAGAAAGCATACAGAGAGGAGATGCTTGGATTAAAATTATTTAGATTTTCAAAAATATTTAACAATATACAATACCAAAGACCATAAAACATAGTCATTGATTATATAAAGAAAACTGGATCACAAAGTTGAAAATAAAATGCATAGAAAATACAGGCACTTCCCTGGGTAAAAATAGTTTCTTAGGAAGAACTGTTCTAGATACACAATTTCGAAGAATTTGAGTACCTTTCAGTTGGAAGAGGATTTAAACCTTCCTGGATACTGAATATCCAAGGATAAAGGAATAAAAACAAAATCTCTTTATTTATGTAAGTAGGAAGAAAGATGATTTTAATAATCTAAAAGCTATGTGTCTTTAATAGTTTAGTGGCACAAAGGAGACTCTGGGATTTTGAAAGCTATTGCATATTATTATTTTTGTTAGAATTGGTGACATACTGTTAGAGTTGGAGTGTCCTAATTAGCTGCCAAGAAGCATATGTTATAAAATAATTTAAAATTATATATTTTATATGTACATTTTTTTTCCACAAGTGTTATACATGTCTATCCAGTAGTGTCTTACTTTTTAAAGGTTTTGCTGCTTTTGGAAACTTTGATTAGTTATCTTGAATTCCATTTTATTTATAGCAGAAAACTGTGCTTATTGTTCTGCAAACTGATGATGAATTACAATTCATTTTCTTTCCTTTTTTTTATATAGTTGACTTGAAGATCATATCACAAGATGAAGGTCAGCAGGATACAAAATGACAAAAAGTGATTATAATTAATATGTTAGATGATGATATGATAGTTATCATAATTGGAACTATGATAATTAAAGAAAAGCATAATGAGATTTTTATATTAACATTTGTAATGATATTTGTCACATTGTTAATCCAAGTTCTAAGTGTTGCATTTAATTCTGCATCATTATTTTAAGCTCTAATTTTGTTTGTGCAAAAATTTGGTTACTGAAACTTGAATCACTATTCTGAACATCCATCTGCATAATCTCTTTGTCAAAGATACAAAAGGTTGACTCTAGATGACTTATAAAATGTAAAGAATGTGAGTACTCTGCAGAATGAAATTTCTGCAGTATGTTCTTCAGAAATCACCAAAAATTATGCCTCAATCATTAAAGTTCAGTTTAACCATCACTAGCTCCTGATTCTCCAGCCTGTGTAAAGCAGTTTAACTGAGGCTCGTTAAAAACTCATAGTGTACATGACGAAGATGAAGAGACCTCTTTATTTCTGCGTAATTCTTGGGAGAATTCTGAACTCAAACACTTCATTTCAGAATTTAGCACATCAGATCTGCTCTATAATTTTTCTGTATCTAAGAGTCATGTTGAAAAGTGGCAGATTTTGCAGGTCGTAATTTTCTCTTGGAACCAAATTTATTAAACGTTAACAGCAAAATAATTCAATTCTTCTTTTTTCTATGCTCAAGTAATATGAATTCCTAAAACAGCGTGTGGGAAAAAAAAGCATCACAATTTAGATCATTTATCATTATTGTAGAAGATAAAAAAGATAAAGCATTGAAGGAGAGAAAAATTGCTGTCTTTGAAGATGATACAAGTGGGTTTGAAGCCTGGTCCTGCCAGTTACTAGCAATATTCCTTGTTACTTACTTAACATTTCTGGGTATTGATTTCTTCATAGAGAAAATGTAGATGGAGGATTGTGACATACACAGTTACTACAAGTGCAAATACTTAGTACAATATCTGAAACCTAGAAATTGCTCCAAAATGGTAGCATTCACTATTGTTACTGATGCTGTAGTAGCCAACCTCCAAGATGGCCGCCAATCAGCCACCTCTTACTAATCATGCCCTTGTATAATGTCCTTGTCCTGTGTGTAAGCTGGACAAAGTGACTCACATCTAATGAACAGAATATGGAAGAAGTGATGGTAAATCACTTCCAGGATTCGTTTATAAATGACTGCAGATTCCATCTCAGGCAGTTTTTCTCTCGCTCTCATCAGTCACTGTGAAGGAAGCCAGATGGCATATCATGAGAAAACTTAGCCAACATATGAAAAGAGCTCACGTAGTGAGGACCACATCTTTGTCCAACAGATAGCAGGATCCAGGGCTCGCCAACACTTCTGATTGGGCTTTGAAGCAGAGCTGCCTCTACTCAAACCTTTTGACAGCTCCAGCCAACAGCTTCACTGAAGCCTCAGGAAAAATCTTGGTCTCAAACAACCCATTTAAGCTTCTCTAATATTACTAACTCACAGAAATTGCAAGACAATGAATAAAGGACTTTTGTTTTAATCTGCTAATTTGTTATGTAGTAATGGCTATCTTAAACAATATAATCATTATTAAAATTATTTACAAGCCACAATTGAAAAATCATATTTTAAAGAGTTTTCCCAAAGCTTTCAAGTATTAAAACATTATTATGTACGTACAAAATCTTTCATTTTTCCATTTTTTTACAAAGGGATGTATGAGTAATTTAATGGCATAAAAAAAATCTCCATTTCTCTACAGCTAAAATAACTTTTGGTAAATATCACTTTGCTGTTAGGATGACTAACAAAATGGAACAAGACAAGGCCAGGGGGAATATGTGAACATGAGGGAAATTCTGTCTCTGAAGAAGATATATCCCTTGCAGCAATAAGTAATATGATATAATGAATGGGATCATTCATATACAGTTCAATTCTCATTTCATAACATTGACTGCAAAAGGTTGTTTAATCACAATAAAGCAGATACTAAAATTTAAACAATGAGAGAAAAGAGACAGATGCTTTATTCCCTTTATACATAGCGTATCAGCATGAAGAAAGTGAGAGATAAAAATTAATATAGTTCGTTAGAGGGACTGTTAAGCATTAAGCTACATGTTGGTGAATAGTGGCAGATGGATTGGATAGGAAAGTTTGAACCCCATTATGGAAGATAGTTTTTAATGGGTGATGTGAACTGTAGTAGGAACTATTTTAGGATCTTGAGCAATGGAGTACTGTGGTGATACTGATGTTTTATTAATATCTCATTAGTACGGTATAGAATGGTTGATGCTGTCTAGCAGAATATAGCAAGTTCCTCAGAGACTTTTATCTCTCCCATGGATAGTCTGTATTACTGGTTGGGCATGCAGTGGACAATAAATGCTTGCTGTATGTCGTCAAAACTCATGGACGTGAACAGTCCATGAGCAAACTTTAAAGGAAATGATATGCCTGTTCACATCAGCATTGATTCTCTTCCTTTTCATTGGTGTCATGTTACCTTCATGTCTCCTACTTTAGTTTAGGTGATGAAGTTTACTGAAGACAAGTTTGTGTTTGTGTGTATGTGTGTGTGTGTGTAATAATAAATTAATGAGAGTCATATTCAGCACAGGGAAAAGACTTTGGATTCAAACAGACCTGGGTACAAACTTGCCTGTACCACTTACCAGCTTTTAAGTTATTTACTCCAAACCTTTGTTTTTTCAAGTTTTATATGGGGGTAATTATATCTACCTGAAGGGACTTTTGTGAGGATTAAGTGTCTGGGCTATTATGGGTACTTCATGGATTTTAATTTCCATTCCCCTTTAGTAAATAAGGAAACCACTTCCCAATTAATTAGGTCCTTTGCAATTAGGACATAAATTAAAAGAAAAAGAAATCTCAAAATCAGGGATTTACAAGCCTTGCATTTTTTTTTAGTCAATATTACAGCACATTTTTAAGTCTTCTAGTTTGCTGGAAGAAATTTCCAAGATTACAGTGAAGCTGTTATACAAATTTATTTTCACAGAATCTGTAAAAATTGTGAAACATAGGTGCTTTATTCATTGCTTTATTTACAAACCACACCATATACATACACGACAAGACATTTAGGTTATGGTTTCCTTCTAAGTCATGTATCCTAGAAAGAAAACATTCTTCAGAACATTTGAAATTCTTTCACCACATTGCCAACAGAATATTCTGCCAACTAGTAAGCTAAAACCCCGGCCTTTCAAATACTTGTTTACTAACTAAAAGTGAGACAAAATACCTTGCTGAACCTGCACTGAAATAATTTAAATATGAGTTTTAATTACAGAATATGTTGAATAAATCACAGCCTGATGTAAAGCATATCTATCATTAAAAAAAGAAATGTCCTTTCATTTTCACTTCCATTTTTATCCTGCTATTTCGGTTTCACCACTCTATAGGCAAACTAAAGAAAGCAAATAAGGAAGACACTTAGGTTACATCACATCCTTTTGCAAGATCCAGAAATATTTTTCAAAATTTGCTGTGTGAACACCAGGCCATGCACGGATCTTCTGATTTTATTGATATGTTATATATATATATATATATATATATATATATATATATATACATACTTTAAAGTCCACTATTTTATTAAAATATTTTCATAAACTGGTTAATGTAACTGCTACTAATATTGACTGCACAAATAGTTGCCAAATTTTTGCTTCTACATTTTATTTTTTTAATTCATACATGCAGGATAATTTATTGATCGAACAAAATTTTACATGTATTATATCACTTCTTAGAGCACAAATATGAGCTCAAATGACTGTTCTGGAAGGAGAATTATAGAAAGGCAAATACATTTATCTTTTCTTATTAGCATAAATAGCTTTAATCAGTTTGGAAAATATTATATAAAATAAATGACTCCTTTGTCAGAAATTACTGAGTTGTTGATTTCAAGCTGTAGGTAATCACTCTATAGTCCAGCAAGGTAAATTAATTCCAGCCATTCCAGTGGCATGTATAAGGGTCATAGTGTGCTGTTAATACAAAGAAAAAAATATATATATATATAAACACATAGGAAGGCTTCTGAAAAAATACATGATTATGTTAAGGTACTAAGGCATATTATATATTATTGTTTTTATATTCCATACACACATTTTGGTCTAATTATACAACTGAGTATCTTCATGAAAACAATGCAGCATGGAGAAAGGAAGGAAGGAGGCTTGCATTAGAGAAAAAACAAAAATGAAAAGACTCCTTTAAAAAATTAATATTAAAGAAACCCTACCTTTTCTGTTTTTTAAGACAAAATAGGTTCTTCCAGAGAAGAGCTTCAGTTAGGGAAAAAAGAGAAACATCAGGAGACCTGATGACTCATGATGAAGTTTTCATGGCCTCTTTACTTGCTGTTGTTGTTTATATATTAATGTTTTTTAAAAACAAATTTGTTTATAAGTTGTTAATAAATCTCTGTACAAATACATGGGTATAGAGGGTTGTTTTTGTTTGCTTTTGCTTTTTTTATTCCCTGAAAATGAAAACTATCCATACCTAAACCATCAGGTCTATAACACGACAAAAATGAATTACCAGGTGGCAATGAACTGACAAAGAGCAAAATTTGGCAAACAACTAAAATTCTATTCTCCCCCAACTTTTAAATTTTCGAATTCTTTAATCTATTCCTAAATTTCAGAAAATAAGCAGTTGTACTTGAAAATAGGTCAGTTGCTTTTACCCAATGTAAACATATTCCAGGTGCAGAAAAACTCCGTGGGTTTACTCTGAGGACCATACACACCCACTCTAGTGACTCAATGCACAGCTATGTCTATTTGGGTCTTCTTATAACATTTTTTCACTTGATTTTCTGATAATCCTCCCTTGCTACATCCCTGATGTTGGAATTGTATATTCCTTCTGTAAAGGTCTCTATTCTAGTCCTCAAGAGCCAGGAATTTTAACCCAACCATACTCTGAATTTTGTCC